ACAAAAGATATTAAAAGTTGTTGGTTTGACAATCCTATGACATCATAGTATGTGTAGACAATCACGTGATTACGTTAGTGATCACTCCATAAGTATAGTAAACAAAGTGTGCAAACATTGCAATGAATGCTATGTTTTGTCTAATTGTCTAACAATTAGTTTATTATTAAACATATCTCTTATTAATATATAATCGCTATTAAGTGAACAATTGATTACCAATTATTGCATATATAGTCGTGTTATCGCTTCAAATGAAACCATCGTTTATTCGTTGAATTATAAACTTGTTATTTGTATTGAATTGTGATTTAAAGGTAAACAATAATAACAATAATTGTGTAAAATATGGGAAACTGTTGTTTCGGTGAATCCGACGATAATTATAGACATAATCTAAACGACAATAATGTAAGCATTGCTTTGTATTTATCATTATTCACGCATTGATTGTGCACTACATGTAGTCCACAGTGTATTGTGTAATGAATTAACCGTTTAGTCAATACTATTATTAGCCATTAATTGTCGCATAATTTGTAATAAAATGATAACATTGTATGTATTAATGCATTGATAGACCAGTTCTGGTCAACAATTGGCGTCAAATCAAAGTAACTATAAGTCCGTCTCACGAGAGGGTAAGCAAATGGTTGACCAAATGGTTGACCAAATGGTTGACCAAATGGTTGACCACATGATTGTTATAGTGTTGTAATGCTGTGTATTGTGTTGGCAGAGGTGGCGGCGGCCGCAGAACGACGGGCCGCTCAACAACAGTCTCGCGGAGCCAAAGGTGTGGTCAACATAAAGGCCAGAAGCGCTGAATTGCCCGAAAATACAAACTCGGGTGGACTCCGATGGCAGGTTGGATGAGACGACGCCCTCCACTCCACTCTACCCCACCTGTCCTTATGGTATATACAGTATCTACTGTACTGTACGCCCACTTTTGCACACCTCCTACTAGTCCCACAATATTTGCTTAATTTATATGAATTTTATATATTCTATGATTTGTTGATAAAATAAATTTAATAATTTTAAGGCAATCACATCTACAGTACTTTATATCACAAGTTTATTTGTATTTTATTTTGACAAAATTTTATATAATTTACCAATTTATACAATATTTGATTTATATCTCAAATGTTTTAATCATGATATTATTTTTACACTAATCGGATGTAAAATAAATTTTTTGAATAAAATTATAAAACTATTTTTGAATTTATGATTAATACATGTTTGATATTTTTAATTGAACGTTAAATTATATATTTTTAATTACAGATTTAAGTGATTTTATTGTTTACAATATTAGTGCGAAATTCAAGTTATTTTTATAATTTATTTCTCTTAACGTAAACAGAGATTACAAAATCTTTTTTATGTTAAATTTAAAAATGTTTAGAAGCATTTATTTTATTGTTTAAAAAACTAAAATATTTTCGCTTCCGCTTTAGTTTTGTCTTAAAATCTTAAAAACATTAATAAAATATTAAAACCACTTTTTAAGTAAAATATTAGCATTTATTTTGTTTGTTTTATTTATTTTTAAATATTTTGCTAATTAATTACAAGCCGTTTAAGACCAGCGCTACTCGTGTGGAGTTTATAATCGCTGTGAGGCTATAGTTAATACATTTTAAATGATAATTAAAAATAGTTATTAAATTATGACGAATTGATTGTCATAATAGATACAAAGTTTAAGTATTTTCAGTTAATCAGTGGTTTTAATTAATTTAATAACTAATAATCAATAAGTTATTACCGGTAATAATTTTGAATTAATTTTATTAATCCCCTTTTGAATACATTTGAACAAAACGACAAAACTATATACGATTTCCTAATTATTTGTTTGTAATTATTAATATCAAATAAATATAGCAGACTTTTTTGTAAATCATTGAATTTACAAATCTCTTATTTCAATCAATTATATTAATGTTTAATATATTTAATTTTGTATTCAATAGAGTTAAGTAAAACTCAATTTACAATGAATTGCATTTAACATTTGCGGAGAAATCTATTTTCTAATTCATTAATTACTAATGAATTAAATGGCTTTTTATGTTGTTTTGAGAGCATTGTATGAGCGCTTTAATTGCGATATCGACCAACAACACAGTCTCTCTCTCTCTCTCTCTCTCTCTC